ACATGCTGATGTTTAGCAGGTATTATGTTTACAATTATACCTTCTGTAAGCATGCTAACATTAGCTAATTATCAGCAAATACAAAGTCCAACTGAGGCTGATGGGACTGTCATTATCTTTGTAGGTGTTTGGTCAAATCCAAAGTATAGGACAAATTACAAGTTTGACTTGATGATGGCGCTAGATGAAAAGTTATCAGGATTTATCCTCTGGAGAACCTGAATGACAGAATATCATGGCAATCAAATTAAAGGTCCAGTTTGTAACATTTACAAGGATTTATTGTCAGAAATGGAATATAATATTCACAGGTATGTTCTATAACCTGTTTTATAAGTATAATAACCTTAAAAAATAATCATTGTGTTTTTGTTACCTTAGAATGAGACGTTTTTATCTACAGACGAGTTTGTATTGTTTCTACAGCAGCCCAGAACAGAGACACGAAACACTCGCTCTAGAAAGGACCTTTTGTGTTTTAGTAGTAGTTTCGTGGCCATCGTAGTTTCTACTACACACTTCACAGGTCATCAAATACAGATGCGAGTGGTGTTCAGTTAGTTGCAATCTGCAACTTCCCCACCAGATGCCACTAAATTCTACACACTGGTCCTTTAATCCAATAAACTGAATTTTTGGCCTTAAAATGTCTTAAATATGATCTCTTTATCTTTAAAATTGATGAGACTAATGAAGTTAACGTAACTTGTATAAAGTTTTAACATTTTTCAGTTTTGCTTCTGAGTATTGTTTGGGGACAAATTTGTATTGATCAACTGTAACAACTACAAAACAAAACTGAACAGTACCAATGTTTTGCCAGTATGGACGTAAAATAGGTCTTAAATTGCATTCCTAATAGTCTAAAATGTAACCTTTTAAAACCTTTAGAAACCCTGATGAAGCAGATAAAACCTAAAACAATTTAATTATCTACATTCTACTGTGGATTTATATCTAGCATCCAGTATTTAACCTTAATGAGGGCTTCACAGTTCATTCCAGTTATGGCACCAGCATAGAGAAAACAATCTGTATCCATCTTATATAAATATTTAAGGATGCCTGAATTAATAAAGATGTTATTTTAATATCTTAATATTAGAAATGCAACCACTTCTTCCCTCTCTCCCTCCATATTTC